ATGCTGCAGTGGCTGCGGATTGCTTTATAGTGCTGGGCTTAACCCCTTGCGCCACCTGCGAGGCCTCGTAACATGTATATTGGAAAGGGCATGGGCTTTGGGGTTAAAACCAAATTAACTTGACTGTAATTCCAGTTCTGATGTGGCTGGCTCTGTGCATGCATGCAAGTTACTTTACTGTCTTCCTCTGCTTCCTTACTTGTGAAACAGGTGTTGCTACTATCACACCAGACTGTTTTTGGGATTACTTTAGATTATGTGTGCTAAATACCACAATATTATATGTCTGGCAGATAATATACAGTAATTGATACACTATGTCTCATTTTCACCTTCTCCCCCGCCTTCCTTTCCACACCCTCCCCGCCTCCCCAGTTAGGGCACAGGGATGCATGTAAAGTTCTACATTTAGTCTTAGTTTTAAAATTTCTCAGTAGAGGATGAGTGAGAACTGGCTTCTCAGTTATTTGTCAATGACTTACTGTTAAAGGGATCGCGAATAATTTTTGGGTTCAATATTTATAAAAATGTGATACTAAAATATGGATGATTAGAATACAGTGCCCTGTTATGAGATGTAAAACCTCTTCTATTTGGCATACTTATACCATATTAGGGGTGTGTTGTGTTCAGTACCACATCTCGAGAGGCAGGTTAAGGAAGGCTTTTAAGATCCAGACTGCCCAGTTTTGAGATTTGACTCTCCCAAATGTTTGAAAACTGTGCCAGGAAAACAACCTGGTGTCTTCATCTGTAGAAAGAGGGATAATAATGGTTCCAGCCTCTTAGGGTTGTTGTCAGGAGTAAATGAATTAGTATGTGTAAACCACTTAGGTGGCTATCAGGCACATAGTAAGGTAAGTGCTGGCCCTTTTTGTGGGAATTTCAGAAGAAAGTAATGAGTTGTGGGCTGTAGATGCCTTGTTGTAGAAGAAATAGTTGGGAAAAATTGGATGTGTTTAACCTAAGAAAGAAGTATTGAGAGTTCTTTACCATTTCAAGAGAAATTTTATGGAAGTGGGAATAGACTATTTTGAATTACTGAAAACGGTGGAACTAGGAACTAGAAATTATACAGAGGCTAATTTTATTTTAATGAAAGGGTTTGTAACAAGTAGAGCTGTTCAAAATTGCAATGAGTTGCTTTGTGAGCAAGTGAGCATTTCATCTCCCAGAGGCTTAGAAGGCGAGGGACAGGTTCCTGACCTGGCTGGTGGGGTGAGATAGATGACAGTGTTCTCTTCTACTCTATCAGCTCAAGGAATGGGCTTAAAGTAAAATAATCCCACATTAAAATATGCTGGGTTTTGGTAGCATGCATGGGAACTTACTAGAATGAGCCTGCTTTTGTGATCTTACTCATTTTGCAAATGTTTATTCGATGAGACATTGTATTTCTGGTATAATTATGCAGAAAAGCAAACAGAGGTTGGAAATGGATATTTGGTGCTATTGCTTACACCATACCATCCTTGATGGAACCCAATACATTAAGTTTCATTATCATTGGGTGCTCATTTCCCTTGGGGGTGTTGCTTTCTTGAGCTGAGCACCGTGGACCCATTATTTTAGACTCTCTCAAGGACATTTGTTTAGCAAACAACTTTGGAAGATGGAGAACATCTCTACCTGCAGAGCAGAGGACAGCTTGTTTCCTGCCTAATGTCAAGCATTCCGTTGTCTAAGCTCAGGGCTTCTCCAGTGACGCGAGGCGTCCATTTGGACCCATTTGCTTATTAACCTCTACAAGGCTTGAGGGTTATGGGGTGTGATACAAATATACTGGCGCTCGTGCTACTTGATGTGCTGTGAGTAATCCAGTCCTTAGCCTCTGAACCCAGAGTCTTGTGTCTCCACTGGCATCGGTAAAGCCAGGGTGTGCTAACTGGTTCGTTTGTTAGTCGATAACATCTCAGAGTCTTCAGTGGTGGACAATCCGGAGGCGTGACGTGAGAGAGAGGTCAAACCTCATGCTCGGTGCCAAATGATTTAGTGTTTGGGGTGATGGAATTTGAATCTGTATCTCCAAAAAGAGTCCTTTCTGTGACCTCGTGGGGAAATGCGCTGGCTTTTACTGCTTGGGTTATTACTGCTGCTGTAGCTGTGAGCACGGAAGCTAGAAAAGTCTACCCCCATTTATTGAGGGCTAATGGTCTGCCAGGCCTCACTGAATTCTTACCAGCAACTCTATAAGAAAGGGATGCTTATTCTCTCCATTTTAGAAATGAGCAAAGTCGAGGCACCATGAATAATCACTTGGACAGTAGAGTCGCAGTCCTAATGCAGGCAGTTTGACCAAGAAGCCCTACTAGCTCTAGCATTTGGGAGCACACTCTGGAAATGGGCTGACCTGGGGTTTGAATCCCTATACTATCCCTGCCTTTCATCCTGTGAGGTGATGTGAATTAATTTACTGTCTTCAAGTCTCAGCTGCTAACATCTGTAAAAAGGGAGGGGAGATCATAAGGCTCACTCCAAAGGGCTGTTAGGAGGATTACACATACATTCTAGAAAGTGTGCAATCACAGCTGGTTCCTGGCAGCGAGTAAGCCTCTCTAAATATTAGCAGCTATTATTATTTTTATTCTTGCAGCCTGCCTTTGCTCTAATTAGAAAAAAAAGCACTTTTAATGGTTTTGTACTTTCAGAGTTCTCTAATGTCTTTTTGACTAAAGGCAAAATGTCATTCCGCCCAGTTAACATCAAGAGGATGGATTTCAAATGGGGCAAACCTGGCACAAGCTGTCTTTTTTATAAATATTTTCTCTAATAATGAAAACAGGAACTAAAAATCGCCCATTAATCCAAATGACTCCCGAACCTTAATTTTAGTAACCCTTTCTTTTCCTAAACAACTCCTCACACTCTTGTGTCACACTGACAGCTGATAGCTGAGAACCTGTCCTCCCTGGGCCTGACATTTACCTTAATGACAGTTCTGCTAGTTCATGCACACACTGAATGGTTTGGCATATTTCCTTCCACAAATGGTGGTGCTGGAGAGGAACCGGGCTTAGGGAAGATGGTAAACAGATTCAGGGTAGCTCTGAGAATTCTGTGTCTGTGTGCTGTTGCGAAGGGAAATAATAGAGTTAAATATCTAGCAACTTTTCCCCTTTGGGATGGTTGATACATTGTAGGCATTTTCTGATTATACTTTGTTTTAGATTAACAGCTTGGAGGGTTTCAGATTTAAAGAGCAAAGTTATGTATCATGGAAACAACAGGGAGGTTGGCTAAACTACTCTGGACCCAAATGTTGCAAGTAATCCTGGCAGGTTTTTTTTTTTTTTTTTTTTTTGGTGGGACTCTCGCTGGCGGCCCGAACCGGTGCTGCAGAGACTGCGGGCAGCCTCGCAGCCCAGTGCTCAACCGCTGCGCCACCAGGGGAGGCCCATGGCAGCTTTGTTTCTGAAACCAAATTCCCTCTAAGTTCTCCACGCTAATTTATTAGTCAAACACTGATGTGGGGGCGGTCTGGCATGGGGTCAGCAGTTGACAGAGGACACGGGGCCTGGCAAGGTGAAGGTCTTGTTTCTAGTCTGGGCTACTTGTGTTGCTTTCCTGCGTGTACCCCACAGCCCATGGAGGTGGTACCTTTTTCTTCATTACATTTCTGCCCATCCCCCTTTATGCTGGCCTTGGTTTCATTGCATCCCTACCACATTTACAAAATTCTTTCTGAAGGTTAGATTGAAGTCAAAGACTAACCTGCTGAATTTCCCTTTCAACAGGAAAAAAAAATTATATATTATGTAGCTCATGAATGAAGATCTTTGGCCTTAAATGACAGTTTGGAGATGACTGTCGTACAGTATTGTGCCTGTGAGTGTCTGGGAGTGGATATGTGATTGATTTGGTGACGGACCATCTCTGAAAGCATTTCTAATGATGGACTTGTAATTGATGGCATCCATCATGGCGAGCCTGAAAAACCCCCCTCCCTAAATTAAAAAGGATAAATGAAATAAACTCGACTGAATGTATAAGCTGACAAATCTGAGGGAATTTAATGAAACTCTAAATTACCACAGTCAACAGATAAGAGGAAAGGGTTTCTTTGTTACTGATTATAACACTAAATTAAAAAAAAATTATCCAAGGGTGATAATAGCAGAAACAAAGATCTGTGGTCCCTGTATCAAACTAAGTTATTGAAAGATTTTTAATAAGTGTATCTATCTCATTCCCTGCTTATTGTTGATTCATATCACTCTTGTGAGTGCTGTTGGAAGAATAGTAAATTCTGGGCCTGCTTTGTAAAATAGCTTATGTTATTGCCTGTTTTGAACAGATTTTAGAGCTGCTATGACCTTATTTTCAGGCTGCTGGGAGCTCTGGACCAAATTCAGGTCATTCAAATGAGCTATTTGGAAGGTAGTTTCTTAGTGTCACAGTAATCTGATCAACTATATGCTCTTAGATGTGTTCAAAAGATCAACTGACAATGACTTAAACAAGGACTATTTTATCATCTCCCCTAACCAGGAGCCCTGGGGTAAGGCTGCCTTGGGGTAGGCTACTTTGCCTTCCGCAGTTGGGGTTGCCTCCTGGTTTTCCCTTCCAGAGTTGTAAGAGTAGCTCAGCTTTGTGTAGCAATATCGAGTGTTGGGGAAAAGGACCTACTTCTTGATCATCATCTTGCAGGAAAACTTTTAAAAGTCCTCATGTCCTGACCAGACCTGTCACTGCCCACTGTAAGGGGCATTGAATTACTAGGAGTTAGTAGGATTCGGTCAAACAAGGCTTGCCCAGATGTGTGTGAAATCCATGCCCACCTGTTGCCTGATTCAAATTGATTCAGGGGAAGCCTTCTTGCATAGGCAATCAGCCAATCCACTCAACTGGGCTGCTGGAATTTACTGTGAAGGGGCCTTTGTATTTTCTGCGAGTAGCTTGTTTTGTTTTCTAGTTAGACTGATCCAGAGTTGCTCCATGTCAACTTATCTTTTACTTTTTGCTCTTAAGTTTGCTCCAACTTGATGTATTGTCTTTCTCAGGACTCTGTCAACCAGTGATGATGTCGAAGACAGAGAGAATGAGAAGGGCCGCCTTGAAGAGGCCTATGAGAAATGTGACCGCGACTTGGATGAGCTGATTGTGCAGCACTACACGGAGCTGACGACAGCCATTCGCACGTACCAGAGCATCACAGAGCGCATCACCAACTCCCGGAATAAGATCAAGCAGGTGAGCCCCCTGCCTTTCAGCTGGCAACCAGAGGCATCCATTAGTCCAGGTGGCACAGCTTGGACAGCAGCCATGGACGTGGCTAATGGCCTCAATGAGTGAGGCATGAAGGCACTTTGAGAAATTTTGCAGGTGTCTGCAAAGCCTCGCTGGAGAGCACCACTGAGGGCATTCTGGGCTCCTTCTTCCCCCCCAAGGTCTTCGCCTGGGCTTCTGTGATTACCTCAGAGTGAGAGAGTGAAATGACACAGAGATGGCTTCAACTTGAGGGAAAATGGAAGGAATCCATGCCCAAGAGTAGCTCTCCTTTAAGCTCCAGGGCCTCTCGATGCAGAGGCTCCTGTGTAGTGCAGTAAACATGTTCGATGTGCTCACGTTATGCGTGTGTTGCTGTAGAAGTGAATATTTTTCAGTTGTAGACATACTAACTTTGAGTGTGGCACCTAATTTGAAGAATGTTTTAAAGAATGTTTTGAAGAATGTTTCTCTGCAAACATTATCTACTCTTGGAAATTTTTGTGAAGAAAACCTAACTCACAAATAATTGAAGTAGCAAAAGAAATATTTGAATATGGAAATTTTTTTTAGATTTATTTATTTATGCATACAAGAGCTAGGGCACAGGCCAGAGGTGCGGGGGGTGAGAAGATTCACCAGAGACAGAATGGGGAACAGAACAGGCAGACTGACTGAAATACACTGCTGAGGGGAGCATCAGGCAAGACAGGAGAGGTCTGCTGAGCCATGTGGGTTGCTCCCTGGCTGGCCGAGGATCGAACTCGTGCTGCAGAGGCTGCGGATTGCTTCATGTTGCGGTGCTTAACCCCTTGCACCACTAGGGAGGCCCTGAATATGGAAATTTTTAAACACCATTCTTGAGTAGTGGCAAGCATGTGTTTTTAGTTTGTCATTTTTTTTCATATGTTGGGGCTGTTTCTTTTCTCTTTGTTACTTCCCTCTTCCTCCTTCTGCCCCTTCCCCCCTCCCTTCCCACACGTCCCTCCATCTCTCCCTGTTGTGTCCTGTGGTAGGGCCTTGAAAAGCCCTTGGTTCCTGGGTACCATGTCTTCTGTGCCTAAAGGATCAAGTAGCTCCTAACAGTATTTTCAGATTTGACCAGGGGATGAACTGAGCAAGTACGGCTCTGCACTGTCACCTCATGGTTACGTGGTCCTTGCTGTGCCTTTTGAGGGTCACTTCTTTAATATCTTAGCTCTCCTCTTTGATAAATGACAGTAGTTGCCACCACTCATGGAGCATCTTTGCTAGGTGTGCTGACACCTGTTCCTCACTTGTCATATTTATAATTCCAACTCCGGTCTCCCTGACTCTAAAGTCCTGCTGCTGGTTTTCAGGCATTTTTAAAGCAGTAATTTTCTCTGCGCCTCCCCTGCCCCCCAATGAAATTTTTTTTAAAAGACTTATTTATTCATGCATACAAGAGCTGGGGTACAGGCCAGAGGTGGAGGGTGAGAGGATTCACCAGAGACTGAGTGGGTTACAGGACAGGCAGATTGACCGAAGTACAGTGCTGAGGGGAGCAGCGGGTGAGTCAGGAGAGGTCTGCTGCACCATGTCGGTTGCTCTCTGGCTGGCCAGGGGATCGAACTCGTGCTGCAGTGGCTGCGGAGAGCTTCTTAGGTTGTGTCTTAACCCCTTGCACCACCAGGGAGGCCCATCCCCCCCTATGAAATTTTATAGAACTTCAACACAGCAAACATTTAGGGAGGGTGGGGTGAGAAGTCTGGAGCCTGGTGCTTGGTCCCTCCCTCTGGACTTCAGGCTGCCCAGACCCTTTGAAATGCACTGCTTTGTGCTAGGTCATGGTCAGGGGACTCCCCCCTGCACCGTTTGCATCCCCCTGCATCGCTGTGCTATGCCATTCTTGGGTGTTTTCTTTCCTGTGTTCTAGACCTTATATTTTGATATTTTAGCAGATAAATCACTTCTAAGAATGCTATTGATAGAAACTTCAGCCTCTAAGAGTCGAGTTCCAGAATGAGTAAGCTCTTAACCTTTATTGGAGCAAAGTGCTGACCTGTTTACATATTAAAATTAACTGGGCATTTTTGAAGGGAATACTGTAGTTCTTAGCTTTTACAAACAGCTAGTTCATCCTCTGGGTTTACCTATGAAACTAGGTAATGCTGTAGATCAGTGGCTGTAGGTTTAAGGTAAACTGTCGTCCATTTTGACCCAATATATTAAGCTCAAGAGAGGTTGGAAAATGAATGTATAGAGCTGCTGACCTTCTGGCTTTGCCTTGGGCAATCACGGTGAGAGTGAAAGACCGTTTGGTATTTGTGTTTTCTGATTAGTTTGCTTGACCGAAAGGACTTTGTCCTAATCTCAAGGGAAGCACTCCGTGGTCACTGCCTAGGCTCCTATCACTCTATATCGATAGTGTCTTTGGCCAAACAAAGAGGGCCTGATGGTGTGGGAGTGCATTTCATCCTGGTTATTCAATTTTGTTTGAGTAGCCATAGTCTTTGCACCATGCTCATTTTTGAGTGTACCAGAGTTTTGAGCAAAAGATAACAAAAACCTGCAAAAAAATCGTATTCATGATATCAGACAGTTGTCAAGAAAGTAAATGTCACATAATACTGTGTTTTGAATTAGATTCCATATTGGGAAGAGAAGAAAGGGCTAACATTTTTCAAAGACGTCTTTAATAATTGATTGGAGAAGAAAAATGTTGGGACAAAACAAAAGCGAATTTGTTTTCATTGTGTAATTTGACAATCACGTAGCCCGAAAGTCCATTTCTTATCACCAAGGAAACAGATATTTCCTCACTAATCTTTCCCTGCCATTTTTGGTTTTTAATTGCAATTTGGATTATATACAAAATATAGGTATATATATATTTTTAAAGGAAAAATGGGGATGATCCAATCATCACTCAGCTGCATTATTTCAGAGCCAAGCAAAATGTTGAGAATGTATAGATCAGAATCGAAATGTTCTTTCTGCTCTCTGCCAAAAAAAAAAAAAAAAACAAAACAAAAAAAAAATGAGACTTCATTCAACAAATATTTGTTGCCAGCTATATGCCTGTTTTAGATACTGGACTAGAACACTTGGAAACCAGCAGTGCCTGTCTTCATGGAGCATAAGGGCAAATGGGAGGAGACAGAAAAACAAGTAAACAATATTTCACAATATTGATTTAGTTTGTGTATTAAGTATTTGTCTTGTGCTGAGTATTGCTCTAGGCTCTGGGATCTAGAAGTAAGTGAAATAGATCAAAGTTCCTGCCCTCATAGTGTTAACATTTCAGTTTACGTTCTAGACAAGGGAACCAGATAAGAAAGTAATAAGTAAAATGTGGTATAACAGATGGTAATAAGATGTGTGCACCCCCGCTCCCTCCCCCCCCAAAAAAAATAGAAACAAGGGAGGATAGGGAATAATTGTTTAAAATAGATTGGTCAGAGAAGTATCACTGAGGCTACATTCAAGCCAACCACCTGCGAGGGTTGAGGGCTAGTCAGGAAGAGTACCTCAGGAAGAAGGAACAGCAGATGCAAACTGATCCTGAAGCAGGAACATGGTTGGAATTTGGGGGAAGCAGTGAGGGCATTTATAGGGTGAAGCAAAATAGGAAGTGGGAGAGAGTTGTGAGAGCTGGTGGGTGAGTGTGGTAGATGGGCCGGGTCTGGGAGGGCCCTGATCACTGTCAGGACTTTCAGCCCTGGGGTGACGGGAGCCAGTGTGAGGTTATGTGCACAGGAGTGACGTGATGTGACGTACATTTCAGCATCGCCACTCTTTTACACTGAGAAATTGATTTGTACGGGGACCAAGGCAAGTGAAGATATTCACATTCATTCTTCATCACCTTTTCAGTTTGAGACCACAGAATGTTTATGCTGCCCATTTTGATATTTTTTTTCCAATATGGACTTATGTTTTGTTGGTTGCATCTATGTTCTTATGGATACTCATGAGTTGGCAGATGGATTTGATTCTCTGCTCAGATGGTTCAGATTTTATTGTATCAGTCAAGTCCATTGGAATTTGTTCTAGTTTAAAAAGTTTGTGCAAATGAAATACTCCATATGCTTAATTAGGTCAAGTAATGCAGATAATAAAGTAGAAAACAGGTAATCCTGTTGTTGAATACCCTATAAAATTGAGCAAAATGAGATAATTACATTAGAAAACTCCAGAATTCATAGGTTCTATCAGTGTCCCCAATAATGACTAACATAGCAGCACCACCAAAATATGTGCATGTGAGCGGATACAAATTGGAGACTTGAGCAGTGTGGGTGATGCTTGCTGGTAATTGAATGAGTGTTCCCTCCATGTTCTACTAGGTGGATTCGATGACATCCGGCTTCTTTAGAAATGCAAAGTAGTGTGTCTTATGAGAAGAGCAGGTAGACTGGTGGGAAAACAGCTACTTGTCTCTGTTATGTGTGCACGAACACTACTTTTTTACCCCATTTTTGGCTGCCCTCTTGGGGCTGGATCAAGCTCTCAACTCATTTTTCTTGACTATGATTGGAAATACCTATGCGTGATTATTCAAGTGATGTTGTTAGAACTTAAACATTCGTCACTTGACATTTAACTGAAATAATTCTGTTACTTTTATATGAAAGTATACCCTGAAAGTTAGAATGAAGAATAACCTTAATTAATGTGAAAAAAGTCACAGTAGAAAAACATGATTTGGGTAGGATGTTATTTATAGCCCAAATTTAGGATGGAAAAAATCCTAGCTGCTGGCATGAGAAAGGGGAATAAGTCTAGAAATGGACACGCTAAACAGTGGGCAATAATGAGGTACCGCAATTTAAAATCTCAGCGGTAACCTGGAGTGCATTAATGCAGTCCAAACAATTATGAGGTAATCTTCCCATTAAGTTGAACTGTGTCTGTGTTTGTGTACTGTCTTCAGATTCTGAGACACACAAAGGAAAGTTTTATCTTTGGAAGGGCTTGGTGGAGCCTCTCAGATGCTCTTAGACCTTAGAATAGGAGCTTAC